CCCCCAACACAAAATAAAAATAAAATCAATAACTTCAGCAATGTTAGGAACACGTGTACACTTGCTAATAAAATTACATATAGTTTGATATTTGAAAAAGATAACAAGACAGATGGCAATTGTCAAATTAGACTAAGAAATGATTTGAAAAATTGGTTAAAAATTAACTTTTCGATTTTTGTGACTTTTTTTTATGTGTATAAAAAATGTGAGAGGTGATGTGACCCAAAATAGATTAAAAATCAAAAACTAACTTTGTTTTAGCTTCCCAAATGGTCCCTAAGGCCTTGTTTGGGAACAGACTATTTTAATAATTTTTTGACTTTTTTATTAAAATATGAGGTAAAAAAAACTAGTATGTTTATGGTGACTTTTTAACTTTTTACGAAAAAATATGTAAAAAATAGAGAGAAAATAAAATTTTTGACTTTTTAATATAATTTATAAGTTTTTTGGCTTATTTAGTAACTTTTTAATTTTTTAACTAAAATATTAACTTGCCAAATGAGGCCTAAATTAGTTTTTTGCGTTGCATTTTCCGAAACAGAATAACTACTTAATAAACAGTAAATCTAGGCTCCCAAAAAAAAAATTTAATTTTATGTCTGAGATTGAGAATTAGTGTCTTATAAGATCCAGACATAAACTCTACATTAATGTTTGGAATAAAAATTCTAAGTAAATAATATTACTGACTTTATAATGCTAAATACAAACATCAACGACATTCATCCCACCATAAAAATAATAAATAAATAAAATTCATCCAAAAAAATGGAGGGCTTTATTAGGGATGGACGCGAGTCGATTGCGGCCACGGAACCTCCAATCTGTCATCCGTCCGCCAGATTGGCGGATTGGAAAAAATCAATCCGCATCCGTCATCTAATCTAGCGGATGTGGATTGAGCGGATTGGCAGTTTGGCGGATAGATGCGAATCGGTTTGACGGTTTAAAATTTTATAAATTTTCAACATAGTTCAACTTGTACACTTCCTCAAATATATATATATATATATATATTACAGTCAATAACTTAGAAAAGTATTACAATTACTACATGTCTCATCCAAAAAAAGAAAGTTTAAAACTTTAGAATATCACAATCACTATATGCATCATCCACATATTACAGTTACAGCATACATCATCCACATAAAGTATGTTGCAATCTGTGGTTCTTAAAATATAAAAACAATTCAAACCACCAAAATCATGAACAGAGTAATAGTAGAGATTGTATGTCTCTGTATTATTACATTTATGCCTCCGCTTGGGAAGTGGGTTGGCTTTTTGACTTTTTGGCTTTTTTGGCTATTTTAGCCTGGACTAAAAAGCTTGGTTTGGAAAGGGCTTTTTGGCTTTTTGGCTTTTTTGACTTTTTTTGTGAGAGAAGAATGTAATGATTATAGGTTGGATGTGATGTTTTGTTTGTTATGGCTAAAATAGCCTATTTTGTTTTTTGTGGCTAAAACGAAAACCAACCAGCATATATCATACTTTCTATTTATTACTTTAAGAGTTAGATTTAAAAATCAAAAAATATAACTAAATAATACGTTTATTTTTTTTAATTCAAAAAATATATTCAAGTTGAAAACTTTTTTTAACAGAATATTTGAACTCTTTTTCAATTGAAAACACAAACAAAATATTTAAACAAATTGAAAACACAAAGTCTTATAAATTACTAAGGGTGCTCGCGGTTTGGCGGTTCGGTTGCGGCCAAAGGAACCTCAAATCCGCCATACGTCCGCCAAATTGGCGGATTGGAGAAAATCAATCCGCAACCGTCTGCTCGTCATCACGCATCCATCCAAAATGCGGCGGATCGATTTGGTTCGGTCGGTTTTGGCGGATCAGTATATCCGCTGCTCACCCCTAAGCGTCATCTCAATCCCAGTAAAAAAATAAAGAAAATTTTTAGTATTATAATGCTATGGCAAGAAAAAACATGTCAACTTAACATCCTGTTCTTTAAATCCAACCCTTACTACAGTTCATAATGTGTTGGCATTAAAAACTATTTTTGTCTTTCGATAAACATGTCTAAGCATGAAGAGATGATCCAGTATGTGGTAGGAGCAAGGACCACAAGATTGGTGGCACGTGTGGGCTCTAAAATGCAAAACAAGTGACAAGATTGAAGCAGTTAAAGGAGCAGTTTAATATGCAGTGATAGCAGAGGCAATTTCTTCTGTCGATACGCCTAAAAATGTAATGAAACATGGCCAAACGTGACTCAAGAGTGGAGCCATGAGTTTAGGGATATGTTGATGCAAGACACGTGGTTTATTCACACAAATTGAAAAGAGAGACAAAGCTACAGCAGAAGAAGCAGTTACAGGCGGTTGTAGAGATCATGGGCAGTTATTCAAAGAAATAGAAGTAGCCTACTTCATGATGGAACACGTGGCAACGTATGGACAATATGACCAATGACATAAAGGCTGGAATTCGAAAAAGGATGGACAAAAAAATCAACTCACAACATGAGAAAACGAGGAGTAGTCTAATGTATCTAAGAATAACAGTACTTGTAATTAGGAGTAGCAGTAGCAGTAATGGTTAGCATTGGTAGTCTATACAAAGTTCTGTCGATTGCGGTGTCAAAAAACTTATAATTTAATCATTATGGTTAAAATGAGAAGTTTCTTTATTATCAGTCAATTTCTAATTGTATTTACTTTGTTTCTTCAAGAAGTAAACCTTTAAAGAAATCCTTGAACCTATCAAGGCATTAAGACATTCAACTACATTGCTTGATCCTGTTGGTTATGAAAATTAGTTTGTTTGTTGTTTGTCGATATTACACCCAAATTAAATTTTTGCTAATATATTTTGGCACATCTAGTGAAACACTGTCTTATTTGGAGCAATGGTTAAAAAGAAGCAAGCTAACCAATCCCTAGGGATGCATGGGGACCATGAGAAAAGGCACTTCAATGGCACTGACCTAAAGGAAAAGTATGATAAAGAGATCAGGGACAATGTTGATGACAGTCATTCAATTGGCTAGTCAAGATGAAAGCCAAAGATATGGCCACAATGCACTCCCAGAAGCCAGACAAGTGACTCCAGTAGATGTTAAGAAAGCACCGACCTTGCATGTAAGTTGAGTATTTTCAAGTCTGCCTCCACATGAAAATCAAGCGTCAATTGATGAAGTCCTTGCTGAATTTTAAAAGCATAACATGAGGCCAAGTCGATTAAGGCAACTTAGAGATGAAGTTCATGGGAGTATGGTAAATTTCGATCCTTCTTTAACTCCACAAAAGTACACGTCAAAGCCTACAAAGGCCTTGCCTGCAAATGAGCAGTTGTCATTTTACAAACCTCCTATACTCCCAAGAAGAGTACAAGGAAAGAATTAATTCAAATTCTGTCTTCAAGTTTAACAGGATGAAAGGATAGCCGCCAAACTTAGTTTTTGATCTTAATAACAATAACATGGGGTCAAGACTTAGGCCAAGTTTGAAAACTTGTAAAAAAGTTAAAAAAATCAAAAAGTTACTCAAAAAGTTAAAAAGTTAACACTATTCACCAAAAATCAACAATTACGACTGCACAACTTCCAATTCGAATTTTTCCCTACCAATCAATTTTTATAATTTTTTATTATTTACAATTTTTTATTACACATTTTTTCATAAAAAGTCAAAAAGTTAACCCAAACATTCATATTTTCAACCTCAATTTTTTAGTCCAAACAGACAAAAAATACAATTATTTAAGACACTCCAAATAACCCTTTAAAGATTGGGGGACAACATAAGCCTCCAATGTATGCACAGCAAGCATACATAGGCCTTAAAGATGATAACCATAACCTAATGGACCAAAGAATAAAGCAACCAGAGGTAATGAGACCTCAGCATGTTCAAGAACCTATGTACTAACAATCTTACCAAAAGTATAGAGGACGTATACCTCCCCCGCACTCTAATAAGACTTGTGACAGCCACCCTATTAGTAACCACCATATCCACAACCACACCAACCACCACCATATCAACCATCACAACTACTAGGAATCTAATGTTGTTGAGCCAAGACCTAGAGGACCTAGACCTCATCCTTTGCAACAAGAATTTTATGGAAGGAGGCAATAGGTGCCGATGTGTCATGACTCTATACCAAATAGATAGCTGATCATAAATAGTGGCCCTGTTTGATAGAGCTGTGGGAAAGTGCTTATAGCTTATGCCTCAACAGCTTATAGCTTATAATTTTCAGTTTAGGCTAATTTTCAGCTTATTTTTAAAGCATCTACTGCCCCACTCAAAGAATAAACTAATTTCTGACTTCTGACTTCCAAAAACTGTAAGCTATAAGTTATAAACTAAACACATCAAAATAGCTTAAATTAAGCTGAAAGCTGAAATAAACTATAATTAAGCTCTGCCAAACAGGCACAGTATAACATGAATTGTATGGCCCAAGCCTAAGAAAGCCAAATAGGCCAATGTTCAGGAATCCTCACCCTCCATGGATAGAAACAACCCTCATGCCAAGGAACTACAGAATTCTTGAATTTACCTTGTTTACAAGAGAAGAGAGGCAATCAACCTTAGAACATGAAAGCAAATTCATACTTCAATGTGACAAACCTGCTTATGATGATAATTTAAAACTAAAACTTTTTTCTCGTTCTCTATCTAAGGTGACATTTACATGGTTCATTAACTTGCCAAACAATTTTGTCTATACTGGGCAAAAGATGGAGTCAATTTCATGCACAGTAACACACAAGTGAGTTAGTGATGTTAGTAGGGAGTGGAATGGGACAATCAAGAGTTTGAACCACCACTGATAAGGTGGCCAAGCATGTGCGCTACCACTGGGGCAGGGCTCTACCTCTAGGGACAAACTTCATGCCAACACATACTATGATTTGGGAGTAGGTGAAGGTGGTAGTGGAGGTGGTAGGTGAAGTGTAGTGGAGGTGGTAGGTGGATGTGAATTATGGTAAATTCTAACAGTTTTTTTTTTTTTTGCTATTAAGATTAATCTTATTCTATGGGATTATGATGACCATATCCTTGTTTGCTACCGCCACACTTACAATCGACCATATCCAGCCAAAAAATACGGAACATTACAATTTTTTTTTATCAAACATGGACTACCTAGGAACCAAGATTTTCCAAGAACCAAAAACAAAGTGATGAGCAGGCCACCTTTTCCACATCTTTCTGTCCAACAGTTCAGGCCTCAGCGAACCTGTAAAACACGCAAACCAGCCAACAAAACTAACCTCAATACAGAAACCAACAAAATGTCATACGACACTAGTTACAACAATGCCATGAAGTTTGTCAACAATTAAAGCTGTCTTTGTTTGATTGAGAAATTTGAAGAGAAATTTGAAAAAGAAAAGAGAAAAGTTAAGTGAAATAGGAATAAAATATATTTATATTTTACCTAATTTAACACATTTTCTCTTTCTCTTTTCAAATTCCTTCTCAATTCTTCTAACGTAAAAGAAATAAACATTACCCCAGTTCAGAAAGCTTCATGTGGGCTTCGGCATAATCTGCAAAGAATGCATCCTCATCCTGAAAAGAAAAAAGTTAAGTACCTAACATAAGCAACTAAAAACATTTTTACTTTTAATTTAGAGAGATACCAGGATGAAAACTCACATTATGTTGAAAATGAAAAACCAATTTGAAAGAACAAAAAATATACAAACCGCAGCATATTTCTCAACAAGAGGGCGGAAGACAGGATCATTGAGGAGAGCCTTGTCAGATGGCAGTTGTAGAAGCCCTTCCTTCTCCCCAGTCAGAAGTTCCCTGTTCCACAGTAACAACCCACGAATTTAAGTGATTATCTCATCATTAAACCTCAGCATAATCAACCAACAAGTAAAAACCTCAGCATAATAGCTGTTAAGAAACATAGAGATACAACAGTTAAGACATACGTGAAGTAGGAGTTATCAAAGATGAGTGGATTGGCAGTCCAGGGCCCCTCAAATCCAGAACGCTCCTTGTGGCACCTTCCCTGGAAAAAATATTACCGAGGCAAAAAAATATCTAATCACCATCAAGTATTGACTACCAAATCAAGTATTGACTACCAAAACCTAACAGCATGAGCAATAAACCCAAACAAAAATGGTAGAGGAAAATAAAATATGTTACAAACCAGGGTATGGCCACCAGATAGAGCAACAATGTCCTTGTCAGTGAGGCCCATGTGTTTAACAAACACATCTCTCAGATGGTCCGTTCCTGCAGTAGAAACACACAGATTTAAGTGTAGAAATTACTATAAAGGATCATGGTTCAACTTTTCAATTCATTTGTTATTTTTCCTTCAAAAGTACAAGTGTGATGGGACACTGTTAACAGTACTAACCCTTGGTAGCATCAGGAAGGCGGCCTTCAACAGGTGGCTCAGGCTTATCCTAGATAAACAAAAGAATTTCCATTAAAACTTGCAATAAATTAAGAGGTTAAACTAGAAAACAAGAAAAAAAGTCACAATTCCACAACTCAGCCGGTGAATGTTGTGTGTGGGTGTACGTGTATATGTGAACATATGCCTACAGAAACAATTTATAGAACGCAATCAGAATAATAAATCTGCATTGAACACAATCAGAATAATAAATATGCATCAAACATCATCCAATTCCAATAAAGAACAATGTAAAAAAGATGCCTGGTGCAAATGTTACTTTGGAGAATGTGTAAAAAGATTTGCAGCATTACCACAGGATACCACCAAAAAATAAAAATAAAAAAACCCAAACATGCATCTCTAACAAAACTTCATTGTTCCTTTCCATTATTAACATACATACCTCAGAATTAACAAAAATAACTTCAGGCAAATTAGATATACATAACTTCACAAAAATCTCCCAATCCATCATTAAATTCGATTAACAGGGCAACAAACTTCCATTCAGCAAACAATCTTTCACAGGTCCCACTCTAATTTTGCAGATTATATCAGTAAGAAACACTATAACTGGGCCACATTAGAGCCAATGGAGACCAAAGTTATCATCCAGTAATATGTTCATACCTTAAGGCATCAAGTCCTCGTCCACGATTAAAAAAAACAATTCGCAGGTATTCAGCCCAAGGGCACAACAAATCACCAAAAATAAAGGCCGGCACACATTAGAAGGAAATACTATCCATACACATCACATAATATATAAAGAAAAAAATTACCCCTCTGTAAAACAATTATTTTTTGATCCCGAAAATGGATGTGCAGATAGGCTAAATAAAATTACCCCTCTCTAAAACAATCAAGTCTTTAAATGAATTGGTCCCAAATAATATCACATCGAATCATAGCAGACAATAGATCCTATACTCTAATCTCACCAAATACCCAATAAACTTTTAAGTATGGTTTCCTTACTCAACAAATTAAGCTAAAAATCAAGTAATATAAAAATGAAATAAATTATACAATCTCACAGCTAGGGAACCAAGTTGACTTGGTACTAAATCCCCATTCAGACATAGATAAAGGCGACTTTGCAATTGAAAATACGAAACGAATAAAATTTAACTAACCTCCCTCCCTGGATGGAATGGAACATCAGGTCCCCCAGTAATTTCAACGGCAACAACACCAGCCAACTACATCAAGAAAAAAAATTTAAAAAAAAAAATCAACATTTGGAACAACCATCACAAACAAATCAGGACGAATATATGTATGTCTATGTCGGAGACCTGATAGAAGTCAGCATAAGAGATGATCGGGAACTGCTCCTTGATAGGCTCTAGTAGCCTGACGGCTATCTCAAGGCCGTTGTTGGCCGCGTGACCTTGCTCAAGCTTGTGCCTCATTGTTCCGAACGGACCTCCGGTCTTCGTCGTCACATCGTAAGTACCAGCAGAGTGCCATCTGCATCCACATCAAAATCACATATACACTTTATGCTCATATATATATATATATATATATAGTTGGATCATTATTATTTGATAGAAGATCGAGAGTATACGCGAGACGGAGCATAATCGGAGCACAGTTCTTCTCAGCGATGAGGCCTCTGAGCTTCCTCTTGGCTTTGTCAATAGCCTTCTTGTATTCCTCGCTCACAGTCGGGTAACACTTCTCCATAGCTAATGTTCAGATCAGATTCAAACACAAACAAAATACTGATTTCAGATGAACTACAATCATCATCGACAAAAACACTTGTACACTAACACACCAGTTTTTAGATCAAATGCATGAGATCACAAGTCAAAAGAGTGTAGAACTCGATTATGATTAAAAAAAAACACTAACTAAACTGAAGATCAATGAAGATCAGAGAATCAATTGCTGTGATTGCGAACCTTTTGAGCTGAGACTGAGCAGAGAGAGACAGAATGCAAAGCCCAGTGCGAGGACGACGCGAGTTGAGCACGAGTTGAGCACGAGATTTATCTGTGGAGGGAGATATAAGGGCAGGGAGGAAGAGAAACTTCTAGTAGACTATTCCGCACCGTTGGATTAGAAAGATCTGACGGTTGATATTGATGCCCAGATTGGATGGCTGGGTTTGATCTGGACGATGGGTTGAACGGCTGGCTTTTGTGGTAGGTGGAAAATGTTAAAGGATTTCAAGTGCGAAAATATAGAAAAGTGAGGCTCCGTTATGGATTATTTTAATCACAAAACATAAAATAAGTTGTTTTAATCATAATAAATAAAATATTTAATTATAATTATTATTTTTTTTTTACAAAAAAAGGTTTAAAAATTCATAAAATCCTTCACAAATTAAAATTTTTAACTCAAATTAAAATAATTAAAAAAAAATTAAAAAATCATCTCACGTCCCAAACGACGGCACAGTCTGTTTTTATGATACAACTTTTGAAAAGTGTGACACATAAATAAATAAATAAAAAGGCATTGGTTGATTATTAATAAAGTAATACGAATTTACTTAAAGAACCTTTAGAATTCGGCAATGATTTCAAGAGTATAACATAAATACGAATTTACTTAAAGAAACTTAGGAATTGATTTTTTATAAAAATATGTGCAAATAAATTTTTTAAAAAATGAATTAATTTTTCATATTAATTTTTTTACTAATATAATCTCTTCCGAAACATCCTCTCAAATTCTAACTATACTTTTCACTTTTTATTAATTAAAATATAAAAAAAATAATTTTTTATTTTACCTAAAAAAAATTTATCTATGTAGTCTAACGCTATTCTTTATTTAATTATCTACTAGTAGTTAATCCGTACAATGCACATGTTATTTTTTCGAAAAATATTTGATGATACAATATGTGTTATAAATGAATAATTTTAAATTAAAATTAAAGTATTATTTTAATTATTTATTTTCATAATATTATTGCTATTGTTCTACAAAATTATTACTTGAATACTTATATATATATATTAATTTTAGTTTATATATATATATATATATATATTAATTTTAATAATTTTATATGATATATATTAAATTATAAAATAATAAAATAAATACTCATTTTGATATTAAAAATAACAGTTAAATTAGAAAAAGAATTAGTAATATCAAATTAAAAATAATTCTGACTATTTAATTTTCTTTTATATTCATTTGAAAAATAAAAATTAATAGAAATAGAAATTACATAAAATTTATTAAAAAAATTAAATATAAATATATTGTAATTGGATTATCATATAATATATGATATATATATATATATATTAAATTATAAAATTGTAAAATAAACACTCTTAATTAGATTAAATATCAACAATATAAAAAAAAATTCAACAATGACTAACCATAAAAGAATCGCATAACAACATCTAAACAAAAATAATAATAATAATAAAAACATCTAAACGATAGATATATTTTAGTGTTGAAGTGATTAATCATTTAGAATATGATGCTAAAATATAAAATAACTTACTGTTCAACAATTGAAAAAGATAACTCAAATAGTAAATCCAAACTTTAGAAGTTTTTCGAGAGTATCATTGTTGTGCAGATATTTCATCATGTGAATTGTGATTATATAAAATAATATAGGAAATGAAATATAGTTTCATATATAGAATCACTATAAAATTTAAATGACAAATCCATAAAATAGAATAATATAAAATTAGTATTAGGTATAGATAGTGGCGAAGGGAGCATGGGCCCAGGAAAGGCACATGCCTCTCCTCAACTTTCTAAAATTTATGTTTATGGGTTGTTTAAGATGTTCTAAATAAGTATATTTTTTTGACTTTTTATGAAATATAAGTTGGGTATGGGTTGAGTTTGAAGTGATGTGATAGAGAAATTATGTGACTTAAATAAGATGATATGACTTAAATAGGATAGTGACTTTTTAATTTTTTAACTTTTTTAAGGGATGACAAATAAGACCTTAGTTATAGGTTAATAAATTATTTCTCACTTTGCCCCTTCTAAATTTGAATATATACTTGTACTATTTTTCTTTATTTTTTAAATAGTTCTATAGTTTGTACAATTCAAATGTTTATTTTATGAGAAAATCACTTTTATAATATTATAAAGTCTACCATTAAATGTTTATTTTCTATTATTTTTTATAATGTTTGTTAATTTATTCTTGTTGGTATTTTTTTTCCCATTTCTTCTGGGATGAATATATGTACAAATATGTAAGAGATTTTACTTGTTTGACGAAATTTCTATTTCTTAATAAAATACTTAATTTTTTCTAGAAATGATCATCACAGTCTAAATCGATGTCTTAGTTAAAAATGGGGGTTCAGTTTGTTAAGGATGAAGTAAGGCAGGGTGAGAATACTATTGTTGACATAACATTTTATTATTGCCCCATCTAAACAAAAAAAAGACCATTTAACATTAAAAAAGAAAATCTTAACACCCTTGAAAGAATTAAGAAGAAAAATGTAAAATGCAAAATTAGCATTGGGTTTGTGGATTATCTCAATTATTACAACAAAATATGAAAATAAAATATTTGTTAAATAGAGTCCATATAAAATAGATAAAGCACTACGCCAAAATTAGGCTTTAGCGGCGGTTTTTTACCGCCGTTAAAGGCTGTAAAACCGACGTAAAAGCCTTTAACGGCGGTATTAACGGCGGTTTTGTTACCGCCGTTTATGCGCGTGTCGGAAAAAGTACAACCGTCATAAAAATGTAAATTACCGTCGTTAAAAGTGACAGTAACAGAGGACCAAAAACGTCAGTTTTTTACCGCCGTAAATAGGTTCAAATATTTCAAAAAATAATTCTTTCTTCTTGCACTCCCCAAGTCTTGAACCCTCAACCTCTCATCCACCCACACTAACCACTCTACCATAGCCACTCTTCATGAAATATATTCCCTAAATAAATATTTAAACATTACTTTTACTTTATTGTAGATGGTTTCGCCGGAGCTTTGCCGGAGCACGCCGGAGTTTCGCCGGCAAAGACCGCCATCATTAACGGCGGTAATGATTGGGCATTAGCGGCTTCGAGGCCTCAATCACAGCCCCTTTCCAATACAAATCAGGAACTTGAGGGAGTCCGACCTTTTTTCAAAATCTGCATAATATTTGCATTTGTTGATCGGACGTTAATAGTCCCTTTAACGACGGTTTTCGTTACTGCTGTTAAAAAACCCGCCGTTAATGCCCTGTTTTGACGTAGTGAAGTTAGTATAATTTAAATTAAGTTTGAGCTTGTATAGAACTCTATATGTAATTAAGAAAATGCATACTAACGTGACTCTCTTAAAAAAAAGTAAACTTTCATAATAGGCCACCTAGATATGAAAAAAAATATTATTTTTAATAATATATATATATGATATACACAAACTGTTTAAAGAGCCTCTTAAGGCTCTTCAAATGTTTCTAACCTTCAAAAATTTTGTTAAAATATTTATTATAATAGCTAGCTTATTGGAATGACTAAAATATAATAATGCTAGATATAATAGCTAGCAAGTCTCATTTAAAGAGTGCCTTGAAGATAATTATGTGTTAACTTTTCAAATAAATTTTGAAATACATAAATCGATTACAAACTTATCACGTAATATATATGAATAGACAATACACTTTAAAATGGGTTTTGTTGATAAATTTTATAAAATATTATCTATTCATTTGTATTATGTGTTCATTCTATATAATTTTTGTATTTGTAACAAAAACGTATAACTTTTTCTTGAGATTTAATTTAGATGGCAGAAATTTGAGGTGTGATTCCCATTTAGAACAAATTTGAATGAACAAATGTTTTCCTAGTGACCTACTAAATTATAATTAAATACTCAAATTAAATAAAAGTCCTGTCCTAATGGTCCCTTCCTTTAATGATTCAATATATGATCAATAAAATGAGTCATTATATTTTAAAATTTATCAAATTTTTAATTAAGCTATGCTTAAATAATATTGACACAAAATATTATATGAAATTCTAATAATTACTTCTTATTTTTTATGAGTGTAACTATTCCCACTCTATTTTGCTCCAAATAAACTCCCTTCTTTGTATATAGCGACTCCCTTTTTTATTCATATTATCTAAATATAGCATGATGAAACTATCCTAGCTTGATTTTGAGCAAAATTTGACACAATGAGCACAAAAGTATATTTCAACAATGTTATTCATAGTGTCAAATACTATAGGAATATTGTTTTAACTTTTAACATGATAAATATTTTGATTTCTTAAAAATTGTTACATTATTTCAAATAAATGTGACATCACTTGTTTTTATGTAAATTGAATAAAATTAATATTTTTAAAAAATACTAAGCGTGAATTAAAATTTAAGATACAGTTTTAATAAAATCAATTAAAAATACTAATCATCAAATTTTATTTAATTTGATTGAATTAAACTAATGAAGAAAGGTTTTTTAAAAAATTAATTATTAAAAAATTTATTTAATGGAACTCGTTGCAGGATACATTAGAGACCTCCTCTGAGGTTATTTATGTAATTCCGGACATCCAATGCAATAAGCTATGTTATCTGAACATCAAAATATCTCGTTCACTACGTGTGAACGCGTCCAACTACTGAAGATTCCTTTGGAAGCAATTCTGAAATCACCAAGTTCAGCATTAAACATGTTTCACCCCGGTGGTTTTTCACGTAAAAATACTCCAATTGTAAAAGTTTATTCAAATTTAGTCCCCGTTTGATAAACATATTGGGGATAATAGATTATATAAGTGTAAAATGTCACATCTAAACTATAATTATTATACTTTTCTCTCACAAAAATCAAAAAAATTCAAAAATAAAAATTAAACAAGATTAAAAAAATCTCAACACAAAAAAATTAACTACCAGAGTTAACGTTTACTTGGATGAGAGGTGAGGGAACCTTATTTTAACAATACTAAAAACATAAAAATATTGTTAAGTTATTATTACTCAATTTATTTTGAGAATTAACTATTTTAATTGTTTTTTAATTTTTTACGTAAAGACATGAAAATAAAAATAAAAACAATAGTTGACTTTTTTTTATAGTAATTTT